TATTTTATATTTCAAACAATAACGATTCGAACACGAACGAACGCATCATTGTTCGTGTTTGGTTCGTTTAACTAACCGAACGAAAAAAATTTGTTCGCGTTTGTCTCGTTTACTTATTGAACGAATCGAACACGAACTCATTGACGAACCGAACACGAACTGTTCACGAACAACGAGCTTTTTTGACAGCCCTAGCGGTGGTTGTCAGAAAGCTGCGATCTCACATTTTCAAATGAAAAAAAAAATTACAAAAGCCACATCAGTTTTTCTTCAGCAGTTTCACAGCTGCTTCTTCAAAATTTAATATATGAACTGAAATTTAATGTTAAATTTTCATTTGTTAAGTTTTAATAAATTTACTATTTATCTTCTGCTCTTATAAGCTCAAGCTGCAAGATGAGCTCAAGTTCAGTGTGAACAAGATTGTTGTCGTAGTTATTTCCTTACTAATTTATTAAAATAAATATGGAGCTGACCCATGAGGAGAAATATTTGCATACGGACTACGCACACAGAGCTGTGTGCATAATAACCTTTCAATAACCTTCGCTTCGCGGTTTTTAGGCGGTTATTAGGAGGTTATTGAGGTATTAATTCCAATAACTTATAACCTCAATAACCTTCTCGGGTTCTATTTCAATGTTATTCATAGGTTATTATGGGGTATTGCAGGGTTAATAGAGTACGCACACAGAACTGCGTGTATATTCCGTATGCAAATATTTCCCCTCCATGAATATCTCATTGTAATTCCGGACGTGGCGCCAATCCACAAATTGACACCTTAGCATGTGCTTGATTTTGTAATAATTTATACAAATTTTTGTTCAAAATTTGTTGCCTCCATCACCTATCCGTATTTTCAAGAATAATTCTCGATAAAAAAAATAAAAAAAGAGTTTATTTATAAAAAATGTGAGACTAGCATAAATATGCATATAACATTGACATCCATAACATCATGATCATTAAACATAAAAATCACAAGAAAACTTGCATCATAACCCTAGATGAATTTTTAAAACTCCACTACACTTTACAACACCATTGTATAGAGGTGCGCCATAGTTATCATACCACAATTACACTATGTTGAGCTTAAATATTGTGAATCTCAACCATAGCAAAACTTCTACATTTAAAACTAATAAACTTGAGGACCAACCCACTATGCAACAGCTTTATAAAATTCAAGTCAACTCCTAACTTGATTTATCCAATAAAATAATACTTGGATCTAATATTTGATTAAGAGTAATAAGAATGTACATGATACAATTAGTGTGCAAAAATATGTGGATAGTGTTGAAAAGACAAGCTAAAAATATACTTCACTATGAGCACACATAAACAATGGAATTGATCAAACAATTAACGAGAATAACCAACACCAAATTTTACCACAAAAAATCTCACTGATGAGAATGGTTTGGTAGCCGTAAGCTACTTAAACACGTCTACTAATTGGACACAAAAAGTTCTTCTATATAATACTATTAGAGGAAATCAATAATCAATCATCACCAAGTAGATGGTTTACATCAACTTCATTAAACACAAGGATTTAGTAATCTCATTGACTTCAAGAAAAGTAGGAGTCTTCCTTTCTATGCCTCAGAAATAAGGCTTCCTCTTGAATGATTGATTTTGCTTCATACCCTCCTCTCCTTATCAAACGATTGCTTTGATGAGGAAGTAGAAAGATACTCCGAGTGAGAACTATGCTCCTCTCTCCTTCTTGATCGGTAAATCACCCGTACTTCTTTCTGTTACCGTCCTTCATGCTGCTTCATTAACATGGCATAAATTGTTAAAGTTTTCTTAAACAGTGTGAAAGGCAATTTCCTTCATGTGAGAGGAATCCACAACAATCTCCCCTTCCCAATTACGTATATAAATGGCTCCCCATACCTGTGATTTCTAGGTATAATATAAATTTCTTTCGGTAATATTTTTTCATCATATCAAAACATTCTCATCAGTATGAATCTTCCCATGTTGTAATATCTCTGATTCTAAGACCTCATGAATTCAATGATACCTCGCATCAATATTCTTTGAATGTAACTATCACAATACAAAACAAATCAATCTTGCATATGACCCAAATCTTATACAAAATTCCTCATCCGCAAGACTTCTTTGCAAGCTTTTTGTGACTGCAATATACTCAACCTCTATATTTGACAAAGCTATACACTTCTATAGTATATATTATCATGAAATTGCTCTCCCTGCAAAAGTAAATCCCAAAGTGAATTTTCTCAAGTCCACATTAGTGATCATAGATGTATCTATGTAATCATATAAAATAGGATTATCATTTCCAAAACATAAACACACTATAGAAGAACCTTTGAGAAACCTAAACATCCAATTAACTACTGCCCAATGCTCTTTTTCCGATTTGGAAAAAAAATTGACTAACAATGCCAACTGTCTAAGCACTAATTAGCCTTGTACATACCATAACATACATCAAGCTGCCTAATACAAATGCATAAGGTAAATTCTTCATTTCTTGCTTCTCATTCTCATTTGTAGTGCATTACTTAGGGCCAAACTTGAACTGACTTCTCATTCTCATTTGTAGTGCATTACTTAGGGCCAAACTTGAACTGACCTGTCAATGCACAGACAACTGGTTTAATGTTGCTCATATTGAATCTCTCAAGAAATTTCTCGTTGTATCTCTCCTGAGATAAAAATACCTTGTTCTTCTACCTATCATGAGATAAATTTGTGGTGTGTGTGTGTGTGTGTGTGTGTGTGTGTGTGTGTGTGTGTGTGTGTGTGTGTGTGTGTGTGTGTGTGTGTGTGTGTGTGTGTGTGTGTGTGTGTGTGTGTGTGTGTGTGTGTGTGTGTGTGTGCGCATACATACATACATATGTATATATATATATATGTATATGTATATATATACATGCATACATATGTATATATGTACATGCATGTACATGCATACATATGTATACATACATGCATGTACATATAGATACATATGTATAGATACATATGTATGTACATACATATGTATGTACATACATATGTATCTATACATATGTATCTATATGTACATGCATGTATGTATACATATGTATGCATGTACATCATTACCATGGATGAGTTATACCTATATATCATCACTGCCAGACTTTAATTACTTGGTTAATCAATTAAGGTGTGGTCTTCAAACAAAACTGCATCTCTACTTTTGATAACCTTCTTCTCAATCGGATCCCAAAATTTATGCCCAAACTCTTTGTGGTTGTATCCAATGACGATACACTATTTTAATTTGCTATCAAATTTAGACCTCTCATTTCTAGGAACATGCACAAATGTTTTGCATTCAAAAAGTCTCAAGTGCCCTTATGAAACATCTTTCCCTTTCCAAACCCTTCGTGGTGATGTCACGATTCAAAGCAATCGAAGAAAAATTTATCGAGTTAACCGTCAATCTCATATCCCCCCCCCCCCCCCCCCCCAAACCAAATTTTGAATAAAATAGCATGCAGTGAATTCTCTTATTAATTGTGTAGTTCATTCTCTGAGCAACTCTATTATGCTAAAGAGTTTTTGGTTCTATCTTCTAAAGTTTGATCCCATGAGTTCTATAGTACTCCTCAAATGCCCCCTATGCTCATCACCATTATCTGAACGACTACATCTCAACTTTTTGCCAGCTTCCATCTCAACGGGCACCGGAACAAATCTTGAAGAAACCCAAAACCTAATCTTTAGATCTCAATGAGTAAGCCCACACATTTTTGGAAAGATCATTAATGAAAGTGATATAATAACGAGCCACCAAGGTTTGTAGTATCCATAGAACAAATATCAGTATGCACCAAATCTAACACATTATCTTTTCTAGATGGAGGGAGAGTTATAAAAGCTACTTTTTATTGTTTACTAGCTAGACAATGAATACATGCCTCTAGTTCTGTAGACTTCAAATTAGGAATAATTTATTTTTATAATTTATTATTAGAATAGCTTCTTCGTACGATTCTAACTCATGTGACCGAGTGACATATGCCATGTTTAGCTAATGAATCATCAATTGCATTCACTTCTCCCATCTAAAATTGAGCCTCCATCAAATAAAAAAAATATGCTTCTTTCCTCTTGCAACTACAAATGACCCCTTAGTAAGCTTCCATTTATCTTCACCAAAGTGGTTATGATATCCTTAATCATCAAGTACACCTGTGAAGATCAAATTCAGGCAAAATCTTAGGAACATGCCTCACATTCTTCAAACACAATCGACATCCAACATCAATATTCAATTAAACATCACCCACCTACAATTTTGCATTATGTATTGTTCCCCATCTTCACATGACCACTCACCCTTTAGATATAAAATACATCAAAAAAAGAAGTGACACGATGTGAAGCACCAGAGTCAACTACCCAATTCCTGACGTGTGAGATTGACACTATCGCTATCACAAATAATAGTGGCACCCGTCGACGACTGCTGTTTTATTAGCTTCATTTTTCATTATTTCATTTTTTCTTTTGATATTTTTCTCTTTTAATAATCTACATTGAGCCCGCTTATGCCCCGATTTGCACAGTAAAAACATTTGTGCTCATTCTTTTTTGGTTTGAGACTTTTCTTGTGATCTGTTATTACATTGAGCCTGCTAATGCCCCCAAACAACGTGAAATGCAGTTCCCTCCAACGTGAAGCCTGACAACACATCGTGAGCATAAACTAGATGTGTGCCGTTCAGAAATTGATCAATAGTTTAAAAACTAAACCCATACAGCTGAATTAAAATGAATAAAGAGACGGTTTGAAAAATAAAGATCCATTCAATTTTAGACTGGTCTGATAATTCAGCGTTTTAAAGCAAGAAACTACTACTCAAATTTGCTTGATTTTTTACTTGTTTTATTTATTTATTTATTTATTTATTTATTTTGGTTCAAACAACATTAATTGTAGGTAGAAAAAAAAAAAGAAATTATAAATTCTAAAATTAAATACAACTTCAATTGTTTACTGAATTTCCCAAGATATAATTTATATATTTTGGTTTAATTTTATAATTAAATATAAACCAAAATCAAATAAAACTCATGCCAAATTGAACAGCTTTTTGCCGGCCACTGATCATCAATCTGGAAGAAAAAGAAAAGATAAAATTAACTATAATTAAATTGCTGGAAAAAAAAATAAACAAAAATAAATTTAATTTTTCATTCAACATTCAAAATGGAGAAGGAGAGATCATAAATTAGTTATAATAATTAAATATAAATCGAATAATTATAACAACATGACCACATGAACATGGATTGACAATTAGAAGCCACAATTAAACGGGAAAATATAACTTACAACAAAAGCATAGATTTGTTTAATAATTTCATAAACAATTTCCATTAATCGCGCACGCACAATCAAGATGACAATAAAGTGCGTGCTGGATTCCCATCGCTAGCAGTCGCCATGAATCAATCGTCCATCTTTGCGCCTGCATCAACACATCCAAATTGAAATTACAGAAATAAACCTATTATTTAGATGAAAACGAAATAACTTGCAAACTCGAATAGGCTCAGGAAGTCACTCTATTGTTGACCTTACTACTAAATACTCTTTCTTGCTCATCCAAGAGACCAAGTTGTCCCTACGAACATGAAGTATCCTGAAACGGTTCTTCTGTCATCTGCACAACCTGCTCAGTTAGCATCACAATAGCCCTCAATGTCTACATGTCCATTCTTCCTAAAGACCAACCCCTTCCCTAACACACTCATCAGGTACCTCAAAATCTGATACACCGCATTCATATGACCATTCCTTGATCATGTATGCAACGGCTCATCACGCTCACTGCAAAAGAGGTGTTGAGTCGAGTGTGACATAGATCAGACGGCCCGCGAATCTCTAATATCACTCACGATCAACCGATTCCACTGCCTCTGCACTTAGCTTGACCATCTAGTCAATTGGAGAGACAGCAGGTTTGCACCCCAGTATGTCTCTTTCCATGAGGAGATCCAATACATACTTTTTATGGCACAAGACTGCCCTCTCAAGTTCACGGACCACTTCAATCCCAAAAAAGTATCTAAGGTGTCCAAAATCATTCACGTCAAATTCATTGCTTAATCATATCTTTAGTTGGGCAATTTGTCTTATCATCACCGATGACAATGAAGTCATCAACATACACAGCAAGCATAGTGGTATGTCCTTCACATTTTCGAAAAAATATCATATGGTCTGCATTGATCTGTCGATATCTTATGCTAACCATAGTCTTTCTAAACTTGTCAAACCAAGCTCGAGAAGACTGCTTCAAACCATAGTGACTTCCTGAGCCTACACAGCTTGCCCACTCTCTGAATTGTACTGAATCCTAGTGGTATATTCATATATACCTCCTCCATTAACTCATCATGAAGAAATGCATTCTTCACATTGAGTTCATCTAACATCCACCCATCATTTACTGTAAGAGAAATCAGTGTCCTCACTGTGCTCATCTTTTCCACTGTTGCAAAGGTTTCATCATAGTCAATGATATATGTCTGATTATATCCTTTCGCCACTAGTCGTGCCTTTTACTGCTCTAGAAGAGCAACTGCACCCAACTAACTTTTTCCTTTGGTATTAACACTATCTCCCATCTTCGATTCTTATCGAAAGCCCTAAACTCTTCATGCATAGCCACTTTCCACTTGGAATCCTCCTTAGCAACCAGCCAACAGGTAATATAAAGACGGTGCCCAAAGATGCAATAAATACTGCATGTAAACAAAGTTAACAATATCATGTTCCCACCCAAAATGATCCGGAGGATGTCTTGCATTACTACGAAAGGTCCTTAAAGTTAGGGGGACAGAAGGAGGAATCATATCAACTGGGAGTTCTAAGTCGGAGGTGGATGGTGTAGGTGTCTCAAGAGTCGGAGAAGACCAGAACAAAGGACAAGCTGACACAAGTGGCACTATAAGCACCGTTCCCTCATTTTGCATCCTTCTTCATATATACACCCTTACTCACCTTCAGCCTGAATCCCGCCATCTCTGGGTACTCTCCTCATTTTCTAGTTCCTCAACGAATTCCTTCCACATCACTGAAGAAGGCATTACTCCTAGGTGTACCATTCTCTCACCATTCTTATTCAACCCGTCTTGCTTCATATCTCTAGTATCTGACAAGACACCGAAGGGTTCACCTGGGTATAGTAGGGTTCAAATTCTCTAAATGACAAATCCATGCTTACAAAAAGTCTCTTCTCAATCGGCTCCAACAAATATACCCCTTCTGGGTAGCAGAATAACCTACGAACAGATTTCACAGTTCCGGGATCTAGTTGTCATACTGATGGTCTATTATCCTTCACAAAACAAACCCATACAAACATCTTTAATGGAAGGAACTCACTATTATCTCCTTTCAATATCTGTCAAGGAAACTTCCAATCCAACACCCTTGATGACATCTTGTTGATCAGTTGAGCAGCTCCCAAAATGGCTTTCCCCCATAAGTGTTTTAGGGCATTCTTCTAGAAGGTGTCTATTCTTACCCTCTACTACTTCATTTTGTGTTGATGTGTATGAACACGTGGTTTGATGTTATATCCTCTAAGCTGATAAGTATTTCTCAAATGCTTTGTTGGTATACTATGTCCCTTTATCAGATCTCCATACCTTCACTGTTGCAACATATTGAGTCTAGTTTGTCTTATGGAAGTTTTTAAAGCAACACATCACCCTTGTTTTTCATCAAATATAACCAAGTAACACGAGAAAAACAACCAATAAATGTCACAAAATATTGATAATCATTCATAGAACTTGTAGAACAAGGGCACCACACATCAAAATGAATCATGTCAAAAATACCATAACCCTTTTTCCCAAAATTGATAAAAAATCTCCTAGTAAGCTTTGTCAAACTCACAATATCACAAATAAGCTTTTGTTTATTTATTTTTTCATACAAAGAATGATACAACCGGCTCAATAAACTAAAAATAAGAGTATCTCATGCGTCTGTCATGTAGCAACAACACATCTTCCGCAATCCTCCAAGATTCTCCTACTCCATCAATATTTATGATGGATGTCAACATTGAGTTCATCATATCTCAGTCCATGTACCAGAGTCTATTATGTCACATTTCAGTCCCAAGCGTCTAGCCCGTCCTTTTCTCTTGGAAGATCACGTTAGGAACACCAAAAGAAACAATACATTTTAGTTGAAAAATAATGACACAAATGGATAAAATGTTCACAAAAAAGGGAGCATGTAAAATATTGAATAAAGTCATATAAATGTTACCCTTTCTTTACCCTTACCAACTACAAGTTTCATCGTATCATCAGCAGTCCAGATGCAGTCTGATACTGTTAGGGAAGCATATCAAGAAAACTCACTAGCAGTACCTGAGACATGTTAAGATGGACCAAAATCTACTATCTATTATGTGATCTTGTGGTGGATATAGATGCAAGAACATGTGTATCACAAGTACTTTTGTCAAAGCATGACAACCGACAATATTACCCTTTGATGAAGATTGGTTGAAAGCATCCTTTGCTGCTTTCTCTTCAAAAACTCCGGACACTCATGATCCTCACTCGTAAAACCACACATGTTTCTCCCTCCTTTGTTACCATCAAACTGGCCCAGTAGCCCCTTTTTCCGCCTTTTTGACCACCACGACCACGACCTCCACCTTGTCCACGTCCAACAGCCTCTCTCCTTAAATGGCCCAGGAAAGGTCTTGCTCTGATGCAGATTTCACCACAGTTGTAGCACTTGCGAGTATATATTTATCACACCTAAGCTCGAGGCAACCAACGTTGATTGCGCACTCGGAAGTTCGCTCGGCTCATAGAGTAACTTCATGCGACTCTCCTATATCATTGCAGCAATGGCCTCATCCAGTGAAGGGATAGTCGCCTGAGCTAGAAGGACTGATCTCCCCTAATCAAAGGCCAGGTTAAGATGGGTCAGAAACTGCATAGTCATCTGTATAAAGATCTCCCCTTTCCTGTACTCTGGATGGCCACAGCTCGACATCAATGAGAAGTGATTAAGATCTGTCCACAACTGCACCAATTCTATGGTGTATTCCTGAATCAATCTATCACCATGTACCATTGCTTCTATCTCATGTTGAATCTAGAACACTCTCATGTGGTTCTTCATCCAAGCATAAATCCTCTTCAGCTTTGCCCAGATATCCCTCACCTTTCGAATGCTATCTACTGAGAATGCAATTGGAGAGCCATCGGGTTGAGTGTATAGGTGTAAATTAAGGTATGTGGTTCTCCACTTATCCCCTTTAACACTGTCACTCTTTAGTTCGTCTTCAATCAGATATCCCTCTAGTCTCTTCTCTACTAGAGTAGTCTTGACTCGACGCGACCAACTCAGTTACATGGCTGATCCATCAAGCTTCAAATCCACAAGAGGGAGATCTAGCTTCACTTGCGTCGAAGCATGTGCTGAGGTAGTGGCTCTCATTGAGACGCTAACTTCCTGTATGAGCCCAACCAAGACCTTCAAAACTTTAGTATTTATTTTTCCCAGAAGCTCCAATATTTTACCTCTTGCATTATTTCCATCTTCTAAAATCCTCGAAAGAAGAATCCAGATCTGGATCAGATACAAATTTGATCCTTCACTTCCATACTCTGTGATCACGTCGTGGTCTCTGGAAGTAGTGATCTATACGTTGTGATCACTTCTTGGTCCCTGAAAGCCACGATCTATATGCAACGCTCGTCACCGCAAACCAATGCCCGATCCAGTTGCTCGCTAGTTCTTATTAGGAGCCGCGATCCCGTGTCTTCCCAATTAGCGCAAAAGTAACACGAGGGTTCCGTTCACGACCATAATCCTGTGATCCCCGAGGGTTGCTGTTCCGACTATAATCCCGCGATCCTTCCTAGTTGGCGGTAATCGTTTGGTAGCTTCGCGAGGACAAAACCCGATAGGTTGTCATTCACGATTGTGCTTGCAATCTCGTAGTTTTCGGCGCTAATCTTCGCGGTTGCTTTGAGAGGACGAAACCTGACAATCTCGATGATTGAACAGGCTGTGACAGCTGGGCTCTGATGTCATGAAGAAAAATTGCGCAAAATCTAATTTGTACATTCATAACATTGGCTTAAATAGGGTATTACAACGTTTTGCAAATAAACCTTTAGATTTTTCAAATATTTTCTTTCTGCCAATAGAACCCTAAAAAAGGTCTAACTCTCAACAAACTCATTCAAGGGACATGATTCATTAGACTCCTTCGCTCGGCAAGCAATCTCATGTAAACAATGATGGGACATGCCCAGGACGACCATACTCTAACCCTACAATCGGGTCTCACGTTCTTGTGGCAAAATCAGATGAAGATATTTTTTTATTATTATTGTTTTATGTGTGACTCTTTCCATGACCCTCATAAATTAAGGGAAAAATAAAGTACGTAGAGATACCTAGAGTATCCTGTATGTGAATATAAGCTTTCTCCCTCAAAACCACTCAAACCTTGTATGTAAGGCACAAGTGTTCTTGGACAGATCTGAATTCAACATTTATAATTTTATTTGATCCTAAACTGACAACAGTATTATTTTGACCAGACCAAATGCAAAATTATGATAACTTGAGAAAGATTTCAAAGCGCCTACATGAGAAATGATGCAGCCATACAGTGTTTCCGTTGATAATTTTTTAATTATTTTTTTATTAATTTTATTTTCAAAATGTGTACCAAGAAAATGCAGTTTGTATCGACCCACAACAGAATGGCATTTTTCAGAAATATGCTTTAGAAACATAGTAAACTAGTTTGCTGAGATGCGCACCTCCAGAAGAGATGCCCATCAAGGGACGGATTACTGAACCACCGCATCCAAGCAGTACGTCTTGAAGCTTATACATTCTTTGACAAGAAAATCACTGCAACACAAATCTCATAAGAAATCAGTGGCAACAGTTCAAACAAATGAGCAAATGAAAAAATCTTACAAGATTCGTTCAACCATCTCTGCCGAATCCCATCTAGGACTCCATGGATAATTATTTAGAGGAGGTGACATTATTGGCGCGCCTTGAGAATTGAAATGCTGCAATTGTTGCCAATATGGTGTTAGAGTTGAAAACAGATTTATTCTCCATTTTATACAATTACTATTTCCAAATATACGTGCTTTAAAAGAAATCGAAGCTATCAGAAGAATGAAAAGTATATCAAGAAATCCATGCTAGAAGGAAATGAATGAACGGACATAATGAATATGCATCTAATTCAGCCACCCTAAAATGACTTTGGCCATGTATCTAACACTTTCATTCTCATACCAATTGTTATCTTTAAATAATATCCCTTCGGCTAAGAGGTTCTCCATGAATATTTATATAAATGCTGGATACAAGCAAGGGATGTGTATGGCTAAATTTCCAACGCTCGAACCCAAGTGAAAAGTTGCAAGCCAAGGTTTAAGCTCAATAAAGATAGGTAGGATTTACTCGGCTTCAATATAACTGGTCAATGTCGAAAAGTAAGATGACTTCTATATCTTGTCAACTCAACAAGCACCAAATAGAGCCCGTCATGCCCGCTAGCAATAAAATTTTAGCATTTTTTTCTTAACAAGCTCTTTATCTTCTAAGCTTTTTTTCTTTTTTTCTAAATTGCTCTTGCAAAGGTGACATGAAATCACACAAATTAAGATCTACTCTCTTCAAAGTTGAGGTGAGCATGGAGAATGCTATAGACAAGAAGGGGAGCCTTTCGTGAATCAGAGCCAAGCAACAAAGATGACTTGATAAAAAAGTTCATTGTAAAACAGATCAATGAGAGATTCGAGGGCAGATGATGGCAATGACCAGAAAGCTTTGGAGCATATGCCGAGAGTAATACCTCGGGTCAAAATCCATTTGGTACTTCAAAATCCAACTGCTAGAGCACCAAAAAATTTACTTTCTATGATACTGTTCTAGGGCTCCTATAAGGTATTTTGGAAGTGGATATAGTGGAGAGGTAGTTGTGGAATAGTGAGAGCAAAAATATGCGAGGTCAATGACTTTTGGAAGGGGGTAGGCATTAGAATCTGTTACTGGGCAGTAGCTTTGGGTTGTTTAAAAACTGTCCTAGTTTAAAATAACGAAACGGTTGACGAAATGGGGATTTGAGCATTTAAAACATTTATGTTTAAAATTTATTTGAAATTCAATATTTAATAGTTATAGAATTTAGTTTTGTCGGCTCCGAACCTTACGAGGAGAATTAAAATTAGGTGACTTGAACTTGCAAGTTCTTATATTGGTGATTTGGGCATTATTTGTAACTCACTAGAGTCGTCAACTACAGACGTAAAGAGGAGGATCAAACTAGCTGAGCGAGACTCAACATTGTCCTATTGACAAAGAAGTTCAATGTCTATAATTTAATTATCTCAAGTTCAATTTCACAACTGAGAATTTATAACTTTGAAAAAAGTGTAAATTCTTTGAAAAATGATTTGTACACTTTTCAAAATAGGAACAATTTGAGTAAAAAAAAATTATTTTGACCCGCGCAACATTCTCAAACCGTTCAATTTTAAATACTAATTCATTTTGGTGAAGCACATGCAGGTTTGATTTTATAAATATGACTGATTTCAAGTATTTTATAGACTTAAAAGCAACTTGAAAGATCTTTTTTTTAAATATGAACATGATATAAAACTTTTCAAGTAACAGATGCAAGACTTCAAAATTATGCATGGTTGACTTATTTACAAACACACACTAAAGCATTTATAATTCAATAGTATCTCAAGTGTTCGTCATCTAAGTCTTAAGAACGAGGGTCCAAATTTCAAAATATTTCATTTGACTTAGAAAGATAACCATGAAGCTCATATAAATTTTGAAATAACTCAGAAATGAGAATATTTGCAAAAAAATTGTGATTTTGGATTACAAAATTTTATTTTGGACTTAAAAAGGAACAGTCTTCTATCTGCTTGCATATTAGAATTGTAGATTCGATGGCAAATTTGGAATTTTAAGCTCATGATATATAGAGTTTGTTGAATTCTTAAACATTCCATAAGCTTTGAATCTCTTTTATAAATGAATTATTGCATATTTTCTAAGCGAACTTGAGTAACTTGCATAAGCTTCAATCCATTTTAGTTCTCATAAATAAAAATAAAAATCCTTACAAAAGGGCACACCTTTCATTTTATTTTATGTCAAGTACAATAGTCAATGCTTTTTATAATATCACAAATATCTTGTTTGTGATTCTTTATGAGCCATCAAAACACTTTCTGCCCAAATTATTCAATTTTAAATTATTTTTCAAATCTAAATGTTCACATTTGAATCAATTTTCAAACCTAAGAGCCTAAGTTTGAATGACTTTTCAAGTTTAAAAGCTCAAATTTAATTATTTTAAAACCTTGAGAGCATAAATTTTAAAAGTCCAAATTCAATTATTTTAAGCCCAAATGATTCACATTTCAATTATTTTACAAAAGTTCAAATGATCCAAAAAACTTAAAGATTGTTGTATGTTCAAGTGACCAAAAATATTAGAAATCTCCCGACGTCAACTCACTTTAGGTGTTATAAGGGAGAATGCCAGCCTTCCCATTTTAAAAGACTTCGCCAGTCAGTGTCGTGAGACACCGCGTCCAGGGAGTAAAAATATATATTTCAGTCCACAGTCTTAAAAGATGTTATGGGTCTTCAACGTACCAACAAAAAAGACAATCACGAGCACAAATTTCCCCGAATAGGTACTTTACTTGAACGACACTTAATTTCCTAGAGAGGTGCTCACATTTCCCAGGACGGTGCTTAAATCTCCTATTTTTTATAAAAAATTCCAAACGAGTCCTTAATTTTCTTAACAATACTCAATTCCTTGGATAGGTACTCGAGCTTCCTCGAAATTAAATTTTGAAAATTATCCTCCCACGCTCATTTTGTTATACCCTTGCAAGATAGATTAGCAACGACGATGACAAACGACGAAATAATGAAATAAAAATACAACACAGATCTCACTCTTTTTTATAACAATATACAATATTAAACAATAATAGTAAATTGAATAATAAAATGCTTGACTTGCAAGCTAGACTCAGACTTGGGCTCAGAGGTGGATTGGGATTGAAACAAAGCAATATGGTTCAGCTTAGAGCAGACCAGTAGAGGGAGTGGAGCAAAGAACGAAGGGTTTACTTGAGTGGTACCTCGGTCCTCGGTTACGTGTGATTTGAACCTGGAGAATAAAGCAACTTCAGTGCAGGGCTTCGGTGCAGGGAAGATTGGAGGTCTTTTTATGTTCTGATCCCATCATTGGTTTCATGTTGGCTCTAATCGTGAGTGTATCGCGAGGGTTTTGGTCATGATGGGTAAGAAGGTGGAAGGTTGGTGTGATATAGAGCAGGAGCGAGAATGGGAGTTTCTGCGGCTTCCGTGTGTTGACCTTATTTTTGGTGAGGTCTCTTTTTCTTCTTAGAGCATAGAGTCTAGACTTAAAACTTCTTATTGGACTATCTTAGAGAACTAGTTTGGGACCCGCACCAACTAGAAATTCGAGTCATTTCTTGACTCCTTGCAGTTTCGTATGGATGGTTATAAATCCTTAACATTTCGTTGAGTCGATTAAAACCAACCTAACGAAATTCGAGTCGAGTACTCATAGGATCTAAAGCCTTAGGAAGCTCATCGTGACTTCCGCGCACTCTCACGATGCACGAATACCGCAATTCACTCATTCGATGCACATCGACACTAAAATTTACATCACATATACATTTATATTTTTGTAATTAATTAAAACTGAAAATATTTCTTTAAAATAATTGATCACAGGATAAAATTTTGAGAAAAAAATTGAATTTGACGTGTTTTCGCCCGAGTCGTCGCCGAGGTTGTTCGGATGACCCCAGACGACAAAATTGACTGCGCCAACACGTCCAGAGTGTCAATTTTAGCAAGGAAGGACATATGCATCACTATAATCCCTGACAGGCATAAATGGCACGAAAATCGGAGTATTTTAAAAAAATAAATGAATAAATAAAAATGATAATATAAAACACTAATCCTACTTAACCTAAATACGTGCACGCCACGACTTAAGCTTCCATGGTTCGGTCGCCTGTGCCCTAGCGTTCCCTCCACGACTTGTCGAGGTGACTCCTTGATTCACTCTGCACGAAGCTTCTTCTCCCTCTGGGTCTGAAGCGTTCGTCCCCTTTGACCCACACGACCGTATGTTGATTCACTTCATAGCCTCCCTTTGTGGTATGATATCGGTTACCCGAGCCTTTGGCGCTTGTTTCCTTTAATTAGCTAGGTTCTGCGATGCCCCGTCATCCATCGATGATACAACTACACTCCCTCTTCCTCTCCCTCCCGTTCTTCTTCTTCTAGTAAAACCCCATGGGGGGAGGTCATGTAAGGGGTTAAGAAAATTTTGGGTCGGGGGGAGGTTCGGCTGAAATTTCTACTCGGTTAGGCTTGGAGCTGGTGGGCTTAGCTTCGTGTTGGAATTCTATGGCGTTCTTTGTTCTCTTTCAAAAGGCTCGAACAAGGCAACTTCTTTCCTTTCTGCTATTCTTTTCTACTCGACAGAGGCTCAATAAGCCCAAGAGAATAAAAAAATCTTAAGCAAGATTTTACTTCAAAAAATTATACTTGATTACCTTGCCTGGATTTTCCTTTTGAAATTATTATTAATTGCTATGAATGATTAGGCCTTTGGCAAGTTTGTTGAGCCTAATTTAATTACCTCATCTTTTTTTCTTAGCTGAGGGTTTAGACTTGTAAATGGCAATGCTTCAAGTGTTATGCATGTGAAGATCTCTTTCTTTTGTTCTTATTACACCTGATTTTTATGCCATCCACCTTCTTTAGTTTATGTGAAGTCCAAATGTTGTTTCACCCCTATATATTTGGTGTTTTCTTTGTCGATTCATTCCCTGCTATCTTTACTCGCATGCTGCATTACCTGGGCCTTTTTTAGGGCATTTGGGTTGCACGTGTGCAATGTTTTTGAACTCTTTTGGTTGTGGGATCTTGAGTTGGTTCAGTTCAGTTTTGTGGAATTTTGTAGCCT